TGTAACTTTGGCTTCCGTGGCTTCACTTATGCCGAACATTTTCTGTGCAGCAGCTAAAAAAAAATACTTAAAATGAACTTAGTACAGAATTAGCCTACATTTAACCCCTAAGACCTAAAGTTTGTCTTCCCATTTCAAACATGGGGTTAGGTTTAATTTCTGAAGTTCAAGATTTTACTTTCATATTAGGTATCCTTAATATTTTAATAAATAAATTGTTTAACAAGTTCGCTACTGATTGGTACATGCGCCGGTAGGGCGATCAAAATAGACCGATCCTATGGTCATGATGGACTAAAGGTAGTAAATTAGTCAGTAGCGATTAGTAATAGTGATTATCAGTAGCGATTATCAGCAAGTTTGGTTAGTTAGGTTAGGTTATGACAGTTTAATTTTTATATTACACAAATTATACATTTTTTTTACTTTTTTACTCTCATTTTGTCCGTATTAAAATTCTGCAGGTGAAATAAAAATTGTGCCACTTCTACAGTGCCTATCTTAACCGCTTCTGGTTAAAAATAATCCAGCTGTAGGCCGATGTGTATAACTTTATATAGAAGATCTTTATTACTTAACCTGTGTCTAAACTTAAGCCTAGACCTAAGTTATTTTAGTTATAAAATATTTAAGTATATTATTTATGTTAAAACGCCTAGGTACAGTTCTGCAATAAACCTACAAAAGGCCTATTTTATATCATCAGATGCAACTTTTATTCGATAATTTAACTTAGGTAACTTAATGAAATATTAAGTCAAGTTAGGATTATGTTATTTTCCCATAAAATACTTAAGTAAAGTTATAACTGTAAATGTTTTACTCAGTTTAAAATGTTTCATTCAAAGTAAATTATTAAGTTTAACTTAGGTCAGAGTTTCTCAAGGTGTGGTCCGCAAGCATTTTTCTGTGGGGTCCACGACAAACATTTTAATCACATTTATTTTTATATGTACCGGTATTGTATATTATACTAGCCTATTATGATATAGGCTAAAGCATTAAGATTAAGAAATATGCAAAAACACTTAAACCTAAATAAGTAACCTAAATAAATAACCTAGCCTACTTATTTATTTAGGTTTAGGTTCCTTTGCATTTTTCTTAATTTTGATTTTAATAAGTAGCTTAAACTAGCCTACAGTTTTCTATTTATATCTTAAATACAGTAATGACATCTAGTGATATGCATCCGTTCCAAACCCTATCAATCACTCCTATCCTATCCTATCACTACGTATTTTCTATCGATCGTCTATTGATACTTCCCCTAGGGTCAAGTAGAGCCTCATCTTCTAACCCCTCCCTGAGGAGATAGTTTAAAAAGTTACTACACGCACTCATGACCTTACCATTGTAAGTGCTGATGAAAAATCGTACGACGACCGTAAATCAATCGCTCTAAGCAAAACGGTCGCCGTAACAGCGATAGTAACTGAGCGATTATCGCTGTGCGACTATCGCTACAGTCGCTCCAAGCAAAATAGGCCTTAAGTTAAGTGGACTAAATCAAAGTAAGTTAACCTAACTTAATGCCAATTTTTAGTTTAATGGAGAAAAAATTTTGTAGCCTACCTATATCAGAAACTAATCGCCTGAAAGCTGACCAGACTCTTACTGCGATTAAACGTAGGTTACTGCATTTTATCTGACAGTGTCACTAACAAAGTAGCTGCTTAAATACTTATCGAGTAGGCTACTGAAGTAACTTAGCTTTAAGTCCCTAGCCCTAAGTTATAAGTTACCTACACATTAAAATATCATGGTATAAAATATGGCATTAAGTTAAGTCTAAAGCCGGGTTTTCCTAGACGCGGAAGAGGAGCGCGGAGAGCGGAAAATCGAGTAACATGGCATTCCGCTCTGCTTCCTAGGAAAACAGTACCGGTAACATTAAACTATTTAAGACAAGAGGAGTTCACTCTCCACGCTACTCTCTCCCCGCCTAGAAAAACCCAGCTTTATAGAATAGACTACAACGTAACTTAGGCCCATTATGGCTAATCTAGGCTATAACCTACCATAGTCTATACTATGAACAGAGAAGACAATGCCTAGGCCTAAGTTAGACCATACCAGTACCACAATACCTAAGTATCTTACATGGAGAGCTTGATATCCAAGCTGGTAAAAAAATATGTTTTTATGCATACAAACAACTCAAAGTTAGGCCGATAAGTTGACAACATTTATTTTTTAGGCTAGGCTACTCATTGCACGTAGGCTTACCAACTCAAAAGTGGCTGACTTTAGGCTAAAACTTACTTGGCTCTTTCAAAATGTTCACTGATTTTGAGTTTACTTAATTTCTTCCTAGGCTATTCTTGTAATTAACTTAAGACGATTTGATTTTGTTAGTCACAATCCTTGAGTTTACTTAGTTTGTGCTAATAAGAACTTACCTTGATGGATAAGAAGAAATAGGCCTAGATGAAACTTAATAACTAATCAGCTTTAACAATATAATATTATAACTTGAACAACTCAGCACCAGAATATCGATATTCTCAACTCAATGAGAGAGATTGAGAATGAATCACTTACAAATACACAATAAACAAAACAAAGCAATATGGCCGATGGCATCTTCAAGTGTCGGTCCCACCGTTAGCGTCGTTCCCGTTCCCGCTCGGAATTATGGGTAACTTACACTCGACTCCAATTCGAATCCAACGTGATACTTAAAAGCTGTAATTTCAAACCAACGTAAGCGTAATGGAAGTGCATTGTGGGTAATATTACACTCGACTCGGATTCGAATCTAATGTGATATTTCAAAGCTGTTAATACAAGCAAGTGCAAGCGTAATAGTAGTGTGTTGTGTATACTCGAATCCAGTTTGAATCTAATGTGACATTTCAAAGCTGTTAATTCAATCCACTGTAAGCGTAATTCAAGTGTGTTACACGAAGTTGACATTTGACTCGAGTTTGAATCTAAAGTGACAATTCAAAGCTGTCATTTCAAGTAAAAGCAAGCGTAATTCAAGGCTTGAAGCAAGCTTACGTGCTATCTGGGTCATAATGTTAAAAATACTCAATACAACAAATTCATTAATTTTACATATGTAAACGTTGATAGTTGTGTGCGTATACATCTAGTCCTCTATATTTTCTATGTACACAAATGCTTCTGTATACACTTTTTTTGCAACTCACAGTAACTGAGAAATATTCTAAACTGGTGAACTGTTTTTATAAATTTTTGCCATTATTTCTCAACCCGTGCTTAAAAAATTAGTGACTCGTGGATAAATCCAGATACAGAATTTAATCTAAATCGGACCACAGGTTTTGTCTGTAGCTCTGTATCTGGATCATACAAGTGTGTATTATATAACCTGATATTAGTCAAAATATGTTTTATTCTATAACGTTTAATTTAATTAAACATAAAAGTCATGCTCCCTCCATTTTTAAAGTATTCAGTCCAAAAATGTAATAAATTTACTTGTGCATACATATTTATTTCGTTTTAATAAATAATTGAGGTGATGCAATACACTTATGTAGGCAGTCGCAGCAGTCGAATCCGGGCATAGCGCCTAAAGTTTCACGAACGCAAACCGCGCAACGAGTAGCTAAATGAGCCGTAGAGTAAGTGAGCCATCTAATATTTTGAAGAGGGTTCACTTACTCTACGGATCATAGTGCCAATGAACTGTAGAGTAAGTGAGCCATCTAATATTTTTCTGCAGGCTCGTATAGTATACGAGCCTATTCCTATAATTTATATTATTCATTATTTTGGCTCGTATACTATACGAGCCGATTCCTGAATTATCAAATAATTCGTAAGCTTGGCTCATAGTCACTATGATCTGTAGAGTAAGCGAACCTTCCTACTGTATTTTTAAATATAATACACGAGGCTCATAGGCACAATGATTCGTAGAGTAAGTGAACCCTCTTCATTTATTTTTTATTTTCGATAGGCTCGTATAGTATACGAGCCTGTAGTGCAAGTGAACCTTCAATATTATTTAAAAAGCTCGTATAGTCTATGATCTGTAGAGTAAGTGAGCTGTCCCCGTTTTGTTGATAGTTTATCTCAGCAAGCACCGGCTGTCAAAATCAACAATCAACAAAATCAAACCAACAAACAGTGTTGCCACTTTTAGGGTAATTACCCTTTTTTAGGGTAATTTACTGGTCTTAGGGTAAAGTTTAGGGTAATGGTAGATTTAGGGTAATTTTAGGGTAAAACTAAAAGTTAGCATAACTATGGAAATTTTACTAAAAAAATGAAAAAAACTTCAAAATTTGGCAAAAAACGTTCATAAAATACTATGGCCAAACCATCATATTCGATTCAAATCGGTTTAAATCGATTGCTATGATGAATTTTTTATAATAAGTTATCCTAATTATAAAAAATTGAAATTCATTCTATTCGATTCTATAACACGTTATAGGCCTAATAAAACATGAAATATTATTCATTACTGGGTTTGATATTTAATTATGTGGCTGAATTGAATTAAACTGGATTATTTTACAAATTGTGTCAAGAAATTACTACAGTACTATGTATAGATTAAAGCTTTGGTGGTACCGTACTGTATTTTAAAGATATGATTGTCCAAAAACAGTAGTTATGGGTCGATACAGTAAAAAATGCGATAGTTCTTGATTCGATATTTTTCGTTATACGATAGTCGATAGAGCTGATCAATATCAACATTTTTTTGTTCTTCTTTCGGGTGGTTTTTTAGAATTGAGTATAATTTTACGTAAATTGATTGATATTGGAACTTCATTTAGTATAATTAACCACCTTATGTAGGATTTATATGATTTTAACAATGTTTTATAGCATTAAACGCAAATATTAACATTTAGGGTAATTTTTAGGGTAACTCAAAGTAGATTTAGGGTAATTTAGGGTAATTTTAGCCCGCCTTTAGGGTAAAATCGCAGCAACGCGGTGGCTACACTGCCAACAAACCAACCAATCTCTTTGAACATAGGCCTAGAATAGAATCCTCGAATCCTGAGAGTTGCAGTTGCAGAGCCGCGAAGTACGGTACGAATCAGTAATTATTTCAGATCTGTTCCCTTGTGGTTTTTATCCAACAATTTTAATTCGTTTATCTTAATTTTGTTTTACCTTTTTGCCTTAGTGTCATCACATTCTTCTGTTTTAATTGATTTCATTTTAGAAAAGATCATATTAACCTAAAAATGGTAATGCTTACAAGTTTCCCAGCTCCAACTGATGGTATAAAACATGAACAACCGCGGACGAAATTATTTGTAATTGATCAAGAATTTGGAATTGGCACACTGTATATCACGGAAAGGTAGGAAAATTGCAACATAAATAGGTCTAGGCCTAGCTTATGTCACTTTAGCTAAGATTAAGAACTCGTTGCTTGTTTAAGGCCTATCTATTATAACAACTTCTAAGTTAGTTATAAGTTAATTAAGTTTAGCATCCTTTAACAAATTCAAGGTGAAGCTCAATTGGTAACTTATATAGCCTACTTACAGTACCGTAACTAAAAGTTAGTAGGTAAGCTATGAGCTTCTGAAACCAATGTGTTGCTATGTTTTACGCCATAGGGGTCGTCATAGGAAATTTGTTATAGGCTCTAGTAGCCTAACTTACAGTGGTAGGCCTAGTTCTTATCCTGTATAGCCTAGGCTCACTCTTTTTGCTTGGCATTCTATGCACACAGGCCCCAATTTACCAATGGTCACACTGAGCGATTGTCCAGGGTATTTGTTAGGGTTTTAGGTCATTATTTAGTATAGGTGTCTCCAAACGAATTTTTTAATTTTTATGTCTAACTTTAGGCTATAGGCTATACCTCTTGAATCCAAATAGGCTATAATTACCATTAGGCCTACTTTTCACAGCAAATGAATACCGGTACTACTGTAGATATAGGCTCTAGCTGTTAAAATGTAGGCTACAATGTTTGAATAATCAAGGTGGTGCCTTTAGACAAACAACAAGTAAGTTACAAGTTGAATCCCAATATAAGAAGTTAATAAGTTACTCATAGGAAATTTCTTAAAATGGGATTATGTAGGAAAATGGTGAGGCTGCTGTTCTAACATAGGTAACCTAACTGAACGAAACTTCTAGAATGTCAGCAAACTCCTTTGATTTTAGGGTGGTCGGTCTGGCTTTAAAACTTATGTGAATTAAGTCTGTATTAAGTCCTTTGAAGGTACGGTTGGTTGGATTAGGTAAGGTAAAGTTTAGGTTAAAATTAATCGAGTTGTTGGTTTATGTTACCTAGCCTAACTTAAACAAGTTAAAAGTGTATAAAAACGCTCCAAAACACTAGGCCTAATTAAAAAATGGAAGCAGTGACATAAAAATTGATAATACCAGATAATAAGTTTAACTTAAATGTAAATTTATCAGGGCTAGCTTAGGCCTACAAGTGACCCTCAGAAATTTAAGAAAAGAAGGCGAGGGAAATCAAATGATAAAATGTGTTGAACATTTTTAACTTTTTCCCTTTTTCTAATGATCCGATCTTGCTGGTGCAAATTCATTAAAGTTTATTCAGCCCTAAACTTACACCTTCAAAGCTAAATTAAATTTCATCTAAACCAGATCAAAATTACTTGAGTTAGGCCTCTCACGTTTACAGACGTATATAGAGTACCTAGGTATATAGATATTATATGTACGTATAGACCATATACAAATTTTAATGAATGTTGTTTTTGGCCTCTTGGGGACATCAAAATGAAAAGGCCCTGGATCTACTTAGGTCTTACCAGGTCTACCTACAGTAATAGCAGTTTCTTCCCTATAGGGAAATTTGCTAATATCTACGGTACTTCACTATAGGGACATTTGCTAAAATCCAAAACTTACTAAGACAGATTGTCAATTTACCTACATATTTAGTTAACAAGTTGTAAATATATTTTCAGCAAGTTAACATGGATAAACAACGATGGAGAAGGTATTTCGTTCCTGTATCCACAAATAAGCGTTCATGCTGTATCTAGGGACGTTCAACAATATGGGGCTGAGTGTTTGATTGTAGTTTTAGACACATGCTTGGAAGGTAAGAAAAGTTATAGGCCTAACAATAATATACTTAGGCTATTGTGTATACCAATTAACATTATAGGCCTACAATGTTTTGTCCCATTGTAGCATGTGTAGTTTTTATTTAAATACAATTTCACTCCATTCCACACTTTTTTTGTTTCACCCTGTATAGTATAAATAGGCTATACCCATCCTTGTCTTATTCTTAATGATTGTATAGGCCTATGTTTAAATAAATCCATGATTAAATATCTTTACTCTTCTGTGAACCCATTGTTTCATAATAAGCTAGTTTTTTTTTACTTTAAATTTTGTGTCCAAACTTAAATGTTAATTAGGTACCAATTTGGTTTTAGTTAACTGTGCTTAGTTTTTAAATTGTTCATGCTGTGGAGATTAAATACCATTACTGTAAGGGGAAAAATCCTCTTTTTACCAATATTTTGTTTGTCGAGGTTCAGATATTAAATAATTTACTGAGTGAAATGTTATTGAACAATATAAAATATTATCTCTACCGTATCAGATTTTCATAAGTTTCTCGGAGCTAAGCTTCAATTCATCAAGACATAAATGCAAACTGTGTTCAGTATTTTAGTCTGAATGTGAAGGAAGAGTGAGTGTAAAATGGAGTGATATGATATGTGTAGCTTTGTTATTGACTGAAAATAGCTGTTTCGAAGCTACAACCATAGATTGAAAGCCCAATAATGACCAAGGAAACTGGACAGTATTAAACCATCGAAAAGCTAGGCCTACTAACTGTTACTGTTGGTACTGTTCAATGATATGGCGACCATACAAAGTAGGTATTTAAAGCCAAGTATGAATAGTGATGAGTGTAGAATGGGTGGCGCGATATGAGGAAAACAGGCAACCTTTTGAATGCTACTAGATCATAAACCACTCAGGTACCCAACCAATAATCCAATTTTACCAGACACATGTCCTGCCGTTTTACCATAAAAGTTGTCCTGCAAGCTCTTTTGAACTTGGCAATGTCTTTTGTCGCTGGTTGTTGCGACTGATATTCTAAAATCAGTTTACATTTTGACACCATTTGATGCAATTTCAACTTAAACTTCCAAATTCATTTTCAGGTTGTTTTACATCATGCCACTGGACAATACAGCCAGCCTAGTTACTTACAGTAAGCCTAGTTACTTCCGCGTTGGTAAAATAAATGTTTGGGTTTCATCTATACAGGGTGTCTCACGAGAGGTGTCTCAAATTGATTACGGAAAAACGGCTTAACGTACAAGGATGAAATAAAATTATTTCCTGCTAAATCGACCCCAAGGAATAACGTAAAAATTTTTTAACTTTTTCCCAATACAGGGTGTGCCAAAAACTGAGGGTCACTAGTTCGAATCTCGGAATTTTCAAATGTAAACATATGTCATGGTATATATCATTTTAAAGGTATTTGATAGACAAACATTTTGGCGAAAACAGAAATAGGCTAAGTTATCTTTTTCCGTTTCAAAATGGCGGCAGTTTTTTTGGAAAAAATCTATAATTTTTTAATACTCTGTGTTTCCTATACCAATGCATTTATCCCTTCTCCAGTTGAATTTTCTAACTCCTTATGAAATCAGCTTTACTTTGATATGCTACAAGTAAAGGTTTTTTGAAATTATAAAAATTCCAAAAAAAATTATTTTTGAAAATTTGCAAATGGTCATTTTTCAAAAATTTCAAATAGCAACATATGTCAAGTGGCACATCATTTTATAGGATTTTTAATTCCTAAAAACTTTGTAATTTACACTTACTTCGTATCTCTTTTAGTTTTTGCGTAAATAACAAAAAACCTAATTTTCCTATATCAAATTGTGCCACTTGACATATGTTGATTTTTGAAATTTTTGAAAAATGACCATTTGCAAATTTTCAAAAATAAATTTTTTTGGAATTTTTATAATTTCAAAAAACCGTTACTTGTAGCATGTCAAAGTAAAGCTAATTTCATAACGAGTAAGAAAATTCAACCGGAGAAGGGATAAATGCATTGGTATAGGAAACACAGAGTATTAAAAAATTATAGATTTTTTCCAAAAAAACTGCTGCCATTTTAAAACGGAAAAAGATAACTTATTTCTGTTTTCGCCAAAATGTTTGTCTATCAAATATATTTAAAATTATGTATAAGATGACATATGTTTACATTTGAAAATTCCGAGATTCGAACCAGTGACCCTCAGTTTTTGGCACACCCTGTATTGGGAAAAAGTTAAAAATATTTTTACGTTATTCCTTGGGGTCGATTTAGCGGGAAATAATTTTATTTCATCCTTTTACGTTAAGCCGTTTTTCCGTAATCAATTTGAGACACCTCTCGTGAGACACCCTGTATATATATAAAATCCAATGTATGTATATTTGTTTGTTTGTCCTTTATGGACTTCGAAACCGCTCGACAGACTGTAATGAAACCTTCAGACATTTTTAATCATTATTCAAGGATGTTTTGTGTAAAGTTTGGTGCAGATCCGTCAAGAGGGCTCCGCCCCAGTGACTCTGGAGTTTCCCATGTTAACCTTATGTGTACTCATATTTAAATGGAATTAAAGAATCTTAACAGCTGGTTCAACTAAACAATTTGATTCTGTGACGTTTAATAGCATTAAAAATTAATAGGTTTACCAACAGGGTTCAGCACTATTATATTTTTATTATTTATGACAACAGCTAATTTGCAACCAAAAGGTGAGTGAGCGTAACGAACAAACTCCAACCTGGAGGCGAGTTAGCATAGTGAACAAGCTAACCTGAAGGCAAGTGAGCGCAGCGAACGAGCTCCAACCTAAAGGTGAGTGAGCGTAGCGAACGAACTTCAACCACGACGTGATTGAGCCATGCGAACGAGTTCATCTTGAAAATGAAGAAGCATTTGACATAAATCCACATTAGGACAGGACGACCTCTGTCGGGCCAGCTAGTATGAGAGAAATGTTTGTAATTTTATGCTCAGGCTCCAATCTTTGAAACAAACACAAAGAAAAAGAAATTGACAAACCTTTCAACAAAAGCCGCCACATAAAAATTAAAGTTGAAAATAAATAAGCAAATAATTTTAGAATCATTTGACGTAAGCTCCCAGGTGATATAGGCAAAGTAGATTACAATGTATGCAAGTTATATTGGTTGATTCTATATTAAGTTTTGTTAATGCTGTATTAGCTAATTAATATGAACACAGGTGCTGATGAGAACCGAGAAGAAGATAATGATGAAGACATGGCGACAGAGTTGAGGTTTGTTCCGGAAGACAAAGACCAATTGGACGCCATGTACAGAGCAATGACTTTCTGCCAAACACAGCATCCGGACCCTAATGACTCATTCTCAGACCGTAGGTTTTTTTTTTAATCAGTAGGATTAAATATAGCTCAATTGGTTATTTTAATGCAGGTTTCAAATATTTTACTTACTTAGTAAGGATAGGAGGGGAATTGAAAACAAGAGATATCTTTTCAATCTTGCTGGTTCACTGCATCTCTGTATTTTAGTTCTTTTTTACTTTTTTTAACAATTACCAATAAGAACGTTTTGTTCAAGCCAGTGTTACAGTAAACAACAACCCTGATAAAGTTATTACCTGAGGTGAAACTGATTTAAACATGCTTTATTATCTAATTCTGATTTACAGCTTAAATATGTTTACAAATAATGAAATGTACTTAGAGCAATTAAAAATTAAAATTTTTGGGTACTCTATGTCATTAAATTTCATAATCATTTTAAAGATAAAGGTCTTTGGCTATTTGTTGTATATGCTCAAGAACTCTTTTGTGAATTTTACTTAACTATTTTAAAAACAATTTTAATACCGTACTGTCAATAATTAGCATGTGTGGCAACTGTAGAAAATTGATTACCTTAATGATTGTATACCCTAATTTGTCACAATAATTAGTAGTTAATGATTTTTAGACTTATTTATTCAGTTTCAGAAGAGGATGCATTTTATGAGGATGCTGATGACGAGAGAAATGTCTTGGCCGGTGGAGATTCAGAATATACAAATGGCATTGGTAAGAAAAGTTATCATTTTCACATTACCTATCGTTGTGTATTATATCACCTTCTTTCCCTCTTCAGTTTGGATCTAAAATAAACTATTGTTAATACCGCGTTTTTGTCATACTGCAGCAAAAACAGCAGTAATGCATATGCGTTGAGGGTCTAAAGAAAAATGTTTCTCTCTAGGGAGTAAAAAGTGTTTAAAGCCCCTATGCAGTAAAAATCAGATGTTGTCAACTGAGTTGTAAACTTTGATTGCAAACAATCGCATGTATCGAGAGTATGTACAGATTGTAGCTTATTGTAAATAGTTTACATATTAAAAGTGTAATGTACACAAACGCAATCGCAATTAGAGGTGTGCGGATAGTGAAATTTCATTTCGGATCATATAGTTGAGGCTCGGATCGGATATTGGGAGGTTCGGATTCGGATAGTTCGGCGCGGTTAATAATAAGCTGCATATGCATTTTTAACCTATAAAACACTGTAAAGCTGTGTAAATAAACTTAAATGACGATTTTGAATCATAGAATTTCAAATTAGCTATGTCCACAGTTTTTGTCTCTCTTGAAAATCACAACATCTATTTTCAAAAGTTGGTTGCTTGAATTAAGTACACTAGAAGCCGAAATATTCACACAACACTTTAGCTCAGGAGGACTGGTGTCAAAACGTTTGGGCTTGTTGTTTTATGTTGTTTCCTGGTTCTCACAAGACAAGGGGTTCTATCTCAAGTTTATTTTCACATTGTACCTATTTCCTTACGTTTTTGGAACGGATTATTGGCCTTATTCTGCGGGTTTGCCAAGTTTAGAAAACATTCCTGTCTAAGCTGGGCTCTAGATTTGATGTTGTGGCAAGTTAATTCAGGGCAATTAGGCTTTATAACTCTGTAAAATGTGTGTATCCCTGAATTTATAAATTTCATATTTTTAAAATTGTATTTGAATAGTATAATCTTAGTTTGTTAATAATTTATTTTTGTAAAAAAATACAACCGACTTCAAACGCTCTAAAAAGAATGAAATAATTTCAATAAAGTAAACTTTTGTATTAGGCAATCTCACGTATTTTAAGTCGGCGCGGCTCTATGATGATTTTTTATACAAAATTGAAAGAGGGTGTCCATATTGCAGGTGACTATGTATAACTAAAGTTGTTAATCTGCATGTCTTTTTCATAGTTATGCGTTAAGTGTTGTTTTATTACCGTAATCAGAGATCGGCATTATAGTGGTATTAACGAGCATCTTTAAAAAGATTATAACGCATTTAAATGTTTCTAACATAGAAAAGTAACGTTTTAATACTAAACTAGCTTCTTTTCCCTATCATAATATCAAACTAAATTATTTTCCTATTCATATAGAACATTTGTGTGTGTTATTTTCATAACGCATTTATTCTGAAGTAAACATAAAATACAAGAAAATATTTCCTTTAACATATAAACAAAACAGTTCAGTATGTTTTTTTTATATATTTATGTTATCCAGCTACAATTTATTGATTTTCAAAATACACACACAATATTTAATTTCAATCATATTTGCAGTTTGAGCCGCGCCGACTTGAAATACGTGAGCTTGCCTAATACAAAAGTTTACTTTATTGAAATTATTTCATTCTTTTTAGAGCGTTTGAAGTCGGTTGTATTTTTTTACAAAAATAAATATTTCATGATTTTTAGTGACTGTATAATTTTTTATATATTAATTACTTGAGGTTTTTTGATAAGCAAAACTGGTTGAAACAATCAAAAGTTCCACAGAACAATCATTATTTTAAAACTGCTTGAGTCACCTTTTCAGGTTACATAATCAATGGGTATGAAAATAAACATTTTTAGATATTCCTTAAGAAAGAAAGAGTTGTCCATTACATTAGGCCTAATGAAAAACTAATTGTCTTTTCTTGATACATTGAAATGTCAGACATCGTCGTTTCCTGCAATCGGTGTACTTCTACATTATAAAAAGAAATACAGTAACATCTCAAGCCTTTTGGAACAATATGAAAGTTATTCCTCAGCTACCAGCACTAAAAAATCTCTCAAAAGTGGAAAATTGGTCGATAACACGTATAGTACCTTTGGAAAATATTATATGAAAGATTGGTTCAGCTAAAAGTGGTGTAAGTCATGTTGGGGGTTTTGTTTGCTCAAGATATAGCCTAGTCGAAATTGCAAATCATCTTCCTCTAGGACTTTCCGAAGCAGGCATAATAGTATTGATATGTTATAGTAAATGGGTAGAGAATATCAATAAACATTCCACATCTGCAAATGCATGTTTAGTAATTAAAATATTTAACACTTTTAAGACAATTGACGAGTATGCACTGTCACACTTCTTAGGTCGTGTAAGGAATAATTGCATTTAATTTATATTTAGACCTGTTTTACGAATGCATTGGTTTTCACAATACACCTTTATTTGTCAATATTATACAGCTATTCACTGAAACATATATGTTTTTTTAACCTTTTTAAAACGAGCCAAAAGTGCCGACGTCCGGCCGACCGGATGTTTTTAGAACGAACCAAAAGTGCCAACGTCCGGCTGACCGGACGTTTCGTAATGATCGAACAGTTGTCATAACAACCGAATGGATACTCAGATTCTTTTAACCCATATGTTAACATTGAGTCAAAATTTTAACCTAAAAATCGCCAGATCGCGCTCGGCATTTTTAGCGCGACCTTCGGGAAAAATCATCGGCATTTTTTGAGCATTACTTTTATTTCTCGCCTGGCACTCTAAGGGTTAAGTCAGAATATTCAATACTAAAAACAGAATTACTGTATACACAAATCAGATCAAACGTTAAAATAAATTTTTTATAGTAACCAAAACAAAATGCATGGCAAGAAATAGTTTATTGATCAATATGAACCAACTATTCAACTATTCCATGAAGAATTGTCTCTAGCTTCATTTAAATGGTTTCAACTAACAGCTGTAGGAATGTTATAATTATTTATTGCCTTCTCTGCACAAATGTAAACAATCTGCAAAAATGTAAACAAAATAAATGTTGAATATTTAAGGTTTTCAGAATTTTTCACCGAAACAAATATTATACTTAAACATAATATATAAGGTACCAAATAGAAACTCTCCTGGTTATTTTGGTGGTGGAACCACACTGATCGGTAAAAGAATCACAGAGAAATTGGTGAACATACATAGAAAAAAAAAAACATCGCCACAAACAAATTGAGAACCTCCTCCTTTTGTTGGTAGTGGGGAAGTCGGTTAAAAATGGGTTGTATATTCAACAATTATTGCAGTCCATTATTGTTATGCAGTATGGTCCGAAATTATTGTTTTTGATTTTGAAACATCACAGTTCATTTGAAAAAATTAAAGTTGATGCAGCCCAATGTCAAGTCACGCTTGTGCAATAGTTTTTTTACAAGCTTTCTCCAGACCACTGGGGAGGGTCGGGTCTGATAAGCCGTCTATTTTCCAACCCCCAAGGCGTTCGACCCTCATTAGTGACGCTCGGCTGCACTCAGTGGGGAACCCAATACCACAGATCAATCTTTTAAATGAATTAAAATATTTGGTAATAATTGTTTTATTGATATTCACCTTGAAATTTAAATAAAATTTGTGTAAAATTTGACAAAAATCGGCCAATTTATTAATACAGTACCAATAAATGACATTGGTAATTGAATAATAGGTAAACATTAACCGATTTTTGTCAAGTTTTACCCCGGGTGATTAGTAACCATGGCAACTAGACAACTTGTTGAATGCTTGATGAAGGGAAACTCAAGAAGTAGAAGAACAAAGAGAAAGTATAATGACGTTATCTTTATACCCTTTTTACAATTGCTGTTATTGTTATTATCTTTATGTAAGATTTTATGATTTAGTTTTATAGGTTTATAAAATAATTTTTTTTAACCACGGGAATATCAATTTACAATTTATCAACGTGCTTCTCTTCTGAAACAGCAATACCGGGTGCATAATAAAGGTCAATGACCTAAAATATCACGATTATGCAATATTGTATTTAGATATTGAAATTCAAATCATGACAAAAGTTTGTATATTTCCCCTGGTCCCTATCATTTAATCATTTAATATACCTACACAATCAATGCTAAATAATCGTGGTTGGTTCTAATTTTATTTTTGATTATTCAAAGTTTCTAGCCTACACAATAAGACAATCCAAAGTCAAACCGGGCAATGAATACCCGAAAAACAACGTATCTTGTCCTGTGATTGGAATACCACTCGCCAGCCAGTCCTTTAGATTTAGGGAAGTAGTGCAAGTCTATATATAGCTTCAAGGTTGTACCCACCCCTTCCCCCCTCAAGGCCTACTCGACTCACTGTTGCTACCCATTACCCGGGCTCCTTTCGAGGTCATTGCCCAACCCCTCCCACCCTTCTATTGTGTTGCCTTTGTTGTATGTCGCTTAGTTAGCCAGAAGGGCTACAAGCAACTGGGAGCTTGGAACAATAACTACACTGGAGGAGTATGCTAAGAACATTATTTATTTATGACAGCAGTAGGTTATGACATTACAAACAAGATAGAATATAATATAGATAGATAATTACAATGAATGACTAGGGGACTCTAACATAATTAATACTGAAACGGAGATGTTATAATGAGAGAGAGAGAGAGCTACCACGAGATAATGAGAGACTCACCTAGGACGGGCAGCATGTCACCGATGCGATGTACGAGTGGAATGACAACCACCGGGCTAGGAGCCCCTTTTATATAAACCGCGAGTAGCGTCAGTGGCCATCCCCCAACCGCAAGCCACATTGGGCCTATGAATAGATCAATTGGAAACCACGATGATTCAAAGGAAAGTTATAGAGAATAATATAATGTTTCATACCGGACCGTTAGACTATTGTAGTAAGGGTAGTTACCCTAGTCTGAATGGGGGAGGCTTAGTGAATGGCGTAGGGACTACAATGACAAGGGGGAGGTGCTTTACAACTGTGCCCGAAGGGTGAACCCCAACG